ACCTGTGCAAAGCTGATGAAGAATAGTTGATCAGGGGTCAATTCTAAACCAGGGAGTATTTTTTCGGTCCCGTTCCTACTAGCCCATCTCTGGTAGGCCTATAGTTGAACAAATTGTTTTTTTATAATATGTTATCAAGATAGATAGTGTGTGTAGATTGTATATGCATGAATTATGTAGAGCATTATGACACATAGTTAACGTCCCTCATAATTTCATGCTTGTAAATCTAAAAACTGATTTTTATAAAGAAAGTTTGATTCTGAGACTTACATCGTAAGCGATTTTGATACCACCGTTGTCAGCAATGTTTTCATTGATTGTGAAAGAACCATTCACCTAAAACAATACACAAGATTAATCAACTTATAAGTAAGAGTTAGTTACCGAGAACGGAGGCATTACGATATATACAGTCCGAGGGCTGTATATAGCGTAATGCCGACGTGCGAGGTAACTAACAAACTTAGTTTTCAATTCACGTGGTTTTCGCAAAAACTGAATAGACTTAATGAATGTTTTCTTAGTTGGGWYTCGAACAATAGAATCCTCTCCTCTTGAGACTTTTTCATGGACTGTTGAAATTAGTTTCCTTTAAGAAAACCAAACCTGTTCATGCGAAAGCGAGCAATCGGAATTTGAATATTGTTATCAAATATTCTTAACAGTCATTCTTGCAAACGATGTCGAACACTGACGACGATTTGTTCATAGCTCAAAATACGTTTGACAGCAGATTACTTCTGATTCATACACGTTGGTCAATTCCGAAGTATAAAAGTAACGAAGATCTTGGTTATTGTTGTCTTATTTATTGTTATTCTCTGGTGATGAACATGATAGAAAAGCTGCGGGACTCGAACTTATTACACTCTCAATCTCCTCAAGTTTTGCTGGCCACACTGGTCTTTTTTAGGGGAAAAATTGTTTAGTTTACTTAGTTTATTCGATATTCAGCAGAGAATGGGGTTGATGAATTGAGTTGAATAGCTCGTTATAAATTCAGCGGGCTATATGGGTGATCCCGTAAGGCGGTCCATCAAAGTATCAAACAAGTATCAAACACATTAATAAAGATCCGGAGGTTGTGTTTTTTTATTATTAATCGTCGGAACAACCGTTATTTCAATTATTAGAACAAAATAAAATGAAAAAAAAAACACACGAAATACTGATACTGTTCGACAAGGTTGAATACACAAGTACGGCTCTTTTCGGCATTTTTTGATTGCCTGACGTTTAGCCCCAGACTTCTTTTGAAAAATTGTCGGAACAATCGTTATTTCAATTAATATAACAAGAGAAATGGAATGACCGAAATAAGGGACTTGTCAGAAATTAACAGGGGGGGAGGGGGGGTGGAAATATAAAAGTTGGTTCTGGGAATAAGGTGACCTACCAGAGTAGTGGAAGTGAAATTCTCTAACCAGTTAATTGCGACATTTGATAAATCTATTATAAGTAGTTTTCACAGTTTATACATTTGATATACTTTGTTTGTTGTTGCGGCTGTTTGAACCAAATATAACACTTTTTCTGATTTGTTTATACTGTGAACCAATTACCATTATTATTAACTGTCCATCAAATATCCTAATCCTTATCCCTTCAAAATGAATTCGAAGAAACAATGGTCCATTTATAGGCAATGTACCATCATTCACTGGCTGCTTGGGGGCAATGATAAATTGTTGTGGTAATCGTTGATGGGGAAGAGGGGAGGGTCACGATTTTTTGCCCGTCTGACATAGGGAGGATTTCATTCCCACTTGTCTGGCAGCTCACCTTATTCCCGGTTCACGGTACCCACTTTTGAATTTTCCCACACTCATTCAACTTTTACTGAAATAGCTCATAAAATCAAGAATAACTATGGTGAAAATCAAGCTGTGCGTGTCTTAATTTTTAGTACTTTTCAAAGAATACAAGCAATCTCAAAAACAAAAGGAAAGCAGCCCGTCAAACTTGACTTTTCTTTGTTTTGACATTCCAGTGGGTATTTTGTCATCCGGTATCGCATATTGGACTTGTTACCATGTGACCATTTCTTGCAAAAGTCCAATAGTCTCCTTCACGGTTACCTTCGCCATCTTGAAAGGTAGCCGTGCCTTTGCATCGAAGCGAGACAACCGTTGAGCGTGCAATGATAGAAACCTGTGAATAATTGTCTGTAGGTGTGAAAGAAGGTTTCTATCGTTGCACGCTCAACGGTGGTCTCGCTTCGATGCAAAGGCACGGCTACCTTTCAATATGGCGCAGGAAACCGTGAAGGAGACTATTCAACTAACCTCTCGAACGACATACCTTTCGTACTAAAATCTGATCATGCTACATTTATTAAATTTTCAACAGATTACTGAAAACTGAGGGAATTGTCCAGCCAATATATTTTACGACAATCAACAAAGGACAACTTTTTGGGCTGTTGTCTGATTCTGCCCCGCTTTGATGCAAAACCAAGGCTGCCAGCGCAACTTGTTTTCTAACCGCGAAAAGGGCTATTGCACTTTAACAACTCGTATTTTTGGCGGCGAATAAGACAATTATTACTCTGCGAACAGGGCTACTTTTCTCACCCGCCGAGAAGCGAGAGAAGAATACCTCTGCCGACTTCCGATTATTACATCCAAACTTCTGGATGTAAACATTATGGGCTATTCATTGAAAAAGCTGGTTCTCAACCGGTTTTCGCGTCTACGTCATTATCACCTTGCGAATTACCGCTAGTTTTTATTGTGGGCTCTCCGGCTAATTCAATACGGCGGGTAAAGGTCTCTCCACTCGAGAATTCGATGATTTAGTTAGCATTTGCTTGAAGAAATTAGAATATGTAAACATACAAAAACTATCAAAACATCAATTCGGCGCTCTTTTTTCCATATTATTCAAAATGATACATTCCTAAACCTTCCAATCGGCCACGGGAAGTCTCCCGTATATCAACTTTCTGTTTTCGTTTGTCATTTAGCACCTTGACCTTTGACATACGTCATGCTACTTCACACTTGCGCATGCTCAACGGAATAATARTCGGAAGCCGGCAGAGGTATTTTTCTCTCGCTTCTCGGCGGGTGAGAAAAGTAGCTCTGATCGCAGAATAGACAATTATATGAACGCTATACAAAAAGTCAAAGCTTGCATGTGATGGGATGCTGCTAGCTAGAATGGCTAACTCTTTCTGTATTTTTAAAAAATCAAAAATTCTACAGGAAAAAGAAAACAAAAGATCGTCCTCCTAGAAGCATCCTATCTCATGTAAACAGGGACTAAATAATTATCTCCTTTACATTAATTCCATGGAGTTTGTATTTATTGTACTGGTCGATAAAACATTTGGACTTTTCTTTGAAATTAGCATCAGATGAGGGAGACCACCAGTTGTGTAGATTACCATTTTTATCAAACTGTCGACCTGAAAATACGCAATTGATGTGAAAGAGGCTTAGCAAACAAGGGGCCGTTTGGCGTGCGCATGCGCCAGTCTGTTGAAAATTCATTGAAATTCATTAGTGATTCACTTCAAGCGAGAAATTACAACGACACGAAGGACAATTTCCAAAAATGTTTTTGGCTGTTTTTGACCCTGAAATGTTCTGTCATGACTCGAGAACACTCATAAATAGTGTAACCTACAACGAGGAAAAACACTGGAACCGTTTAAAATCTTATTTAAGAAATGTTGATATTAATGACTTTGTGTTTACAATATGGAGGCTGCAGTGGTTTATATACTCAACTACTATTCCAGTTTTTGCTGAGTGCTGGTCAAGATTCAACGCAGGTCATGAAGTAAATGGTAAATGTACACGTGTAGTAATATAATTAGGCATCGTTTAGTAACATCGACCTCGAAATGTTCGAAAGACAGTTTCTTGAAGTGTACAATATTTACGCTTAAATATTATTAACTTCTACATGAAATACTACTTTCCTTTTATATACCACCAGGACTCATTAGAATAAGGCTACCAATATCAAGACTTATGCTTTGCAAATGGTTTGATAATGTTTTCTTGTCTATGAAAAATGTGGAACGGTTTTAATTCTGCAAATTCTTACGTGCTGTTGAGCACTCACGACAGATTTAGCATTCTTTTGGCTGAAGAGTTGAGCTTGTTTGAATCAAGTTATCATAAATATCTATGAGTAGTTCTATAGCTGTATCATTATAAGTTATGAAATAAACTATTGCAGTGCAATCGATTCACATCTTAGGGATTTATTATTGCTAAAGGTGTGCACAAATAATTCACTACATTTTAACGGTACAAAGTGGCTTCGTGTTATAAATCTAGCCCGAGACTCACAGTAATTTATATAAAGTTTGAAAGATATTCGTGTGCATTGTAAATATATCTACTTGGTTTTGTTTGGAAAAATGTGGAAGATAAGTAAAAACATCAATTATGTTCAGAATCGAAGCTTCCGCAGCTACTACAATGTTATTCTACCCGTATTCTAGAGCCCATGGTCGTTATAACGCAGCGGTTGCGCGCATGCTCATGCATAACGGCCTCTTGTTGGCTTAGCATACTGGTACAAAGTAGTCCTTATAGAGTAACATATTACTAGATTCAAATATCACTCTCTTTACGACTTTGTCACTGTAAGCATATATGCGAGAAAGGGGCAACCTTCGGTGGCATTTAAAAAAAAGTGATTGTGATCTACGTACCTTTTGAGTCAAAACCATGAGTAAGTTCGTGTCCAATGACCATTCCTATTCCTCCGTACTGCATATAGCTAAACAATAGATATTTTTATAAATTGAGAGGGAACATTTCTATTACAAAACCCAAGTATCGAGCCAGGTTAAAATGTTGATCATACCTGGGATATTCTGAACTGTAGAACGGTAATTGTAGAATGCCTGCCAGGTAAGCTTATCAAGATAAAATGAAAATGTTTTTACTAAACAAAGAGCTTATTGCACAGTTCAACATTATAAGAAAAAAAAAACTTATTGCACAGTACAACATTATAAGAAGTCATCGTCCACTATATGATGATAACGAATTCTGTACTTAAAATACGTAGAATGAATTGCAAATAAATACTTAGTGGAATTTTAATATGTAACATCTAAAGAATTAAAAATTTGGAATAACCATGGTTTTTAAAACAATTGTGTTGGTTGTTTTTCATTTTGTTTATTTTTTGTTTGCTATTTTTCACGTGGGCTGCCTGTGTTTTTATTTCGAATTTGGATCGTTTTTTTGCTAGACTAGACCTATATTATATTAAATAGCTCTATAGATGGCCAGTATGTCTATTGAGATATTGCGCCAACTTGAAGAAGTCAGTCATGCAGTGATAATCATGAACGAAGACGAAAACAGGTCTCGGAAGGAAATCATATTATAAGGTTTTTCTTTGGATAATTATTGTAATAAATATACTTACTTATCTTATTTTCAAGTGGACTGTAAAATCCATTTACTTGGGCTGGAGATCTTCCAGCAGTCCAGCTGCAAGCAATAAAAGCTCCAAATTATTAATACAAATCGATTTCGTTTATATATCCGATAGCCGCCATATGATGGTTTTTATATTGCAAATTAGTCACGCGGTCCTTAGTACAGGGGCAACCAAAATCAAATTTCGATATGAAGCAAAGAGGGTAATTGGAGATAAAATTAACATCACCACGGAGGGTCAGCGTCATCTCGGGGCAGTCATCGCATCCCAACCGTACAAGAATCAATACAGCCAAGATAAAATCCAAGCTTGGAAAAAGGGAAATTGAGACGTACTTCATGCGTACCATAGAGTCATTTGAAGACTATGTAGATCCTACTTTATTTGTCCAAGAAGAAGTGCTGCCAAACGAGATAACTCAGTTAGCTAAGTTAACACCAGCACAAGGCGGATTAGGGATACCAGATTTAAAGTTTGAAGCACCACTATAATTTGAAGCTTCAACCTGCATTACAAGAAAACATGCAGAATCCATAAAGACACAGAGCAATACCTTGGTGGCTGATGCGAACACTGACTCGGAGCTTAAGAGACAAAACAAAACAATCAGACAGGAAAAGGTAGCATCGAATATGGAAAGAATTGATGCCTCACTCTCTCGTAATCGTCTTTGATCAGTTAATAAACTGAGGGACAAAGGAGCTCGCTCTTTGCTTAACGCAGTACCCCTTGTTGAACAAGGCCTAGCTATGAACAAGCAAGAATTCAGGGATTCTCTTCGACTAAGGTACAACATGACATTATCTGTTTTACCGAGTCACTGTGCTTGTGGCGAGAGATTCTCTGTCGGACACGCACTCTCTTACAAAAGAGGAGGCTTTGTGGCGCAAAGACATGATGGTATTCGCAACCTATTTGCGACGCTGACTAACAAGGTATGCAATAACGTTGAAATTGAGCCTCATCTTCAGCCCCTCGACAATGAAAGGTTTCAACAAAGAAGTACAGTCACAAGTTCTGATGCTAGATTAGATTTCAAGGCAGGAAGTTTTTGGTCACGTGGAGTCAMAGCATTTTTCGATGTAAGAGTCACCAATGCAAGCTAACATCAATCATATTAAAGCACAAGAGGTAGAAAAGAAAAGAAAATATCAGTAAAGGATTTTGGATATAGAGATGGGATCTTTCACTCCCCTCGTCTTGGGAACTAACGGAGGAATGGGAAAAGAATTAGTTTTATTGACGATTGCAATCTAAATTTTAGAAACATACTTTTTTAGGAACTTTAAAATTTGTAATTTATCTAGTTTAGTTTATTTTTCTTTCTATTGGAATTTTGTAATATTTGTAAATAGTTTTGATTTTACATATCTTATTATTCATGTTTTATTACCAAAATTTGTTATTATTATTAAAATTTAAAATTTCGATATTACGGCAAATTTATCATACAATTGTCATAGTTTTTTCTGTTTCTTGTTTTTTATGATACTGTTTTTAAAAGTGCACATGAATACTTATCAAATTATACTTATTATTTTTAGTTCGTTAAAAAATCATCAAGTATTTTCATAATTAATCTAAAAAATAAAACTACTTAATGCGTAGTTAACAGACATTGATACCTTGAAGCACTATTTTATGCAGGAATGAATGGCAAAAAGCTTATCGATCGTTCAAAATATGACGTTTCTACTAATGTTTGCCCCTGGAATATCGTGTGGCTAAGCATTACAATATGAAGGCCATCATGGCGACTATCATGAATAAGGCAATGGTACGTACTCCCGGGGGAGGGGGGTGGGAGGGTACTCGACCCCGTTTTGGATAGGGAAATAAGGAATCGCTATCTACGCTGCAACCATCAAACTGCAATTATACTGACATCCATCAAAGACAACATGAAGTTTTTGATAACACGTTAATCCTGCTACAGTGAAACGGTATTTCTTATGAAAATATTACCCTGTCCAAGACACAGAAAAAAAATTATATCACGGTATTTTATCTTAATTGTAGACCCTGCTTAAGACAATTTCGGGTGAAATGTATACCCTGTTTAAGACAGTAGTAAAGACAGCACCGCGAACACCCGGTGAGGGTTCGAGGAGAATCGAGGACCGCTTGATTCGAGTAAAATAATTTTATTAATACATTCAGTGACGTCACCTATTCAGTTGAATAGGGTGCGTATAGAGTCATGAATCGAGTAAAAGATTCATTGCTAATATATTCATTTTTGTGGGACTTTCAATTAATCTCCGAACAATTGTCTTTTTGTTCTCTATTGTTTTGCGCAAGCGGATATTTATTGCTTCAATCTGGGCTGTTATTGTCACTCTGCGCTCTTATTGACTTGTAAGTTTTATATTTCTTTGCTGAAGATGTTTGGTGCAGTGGATAGAATTATGCCGGATTGAACAATTTGAAAAGGCTGAACGTTCTTTTCTGCTGGAGCTGATATCAACGGTATTGCAACTCTCTTGTGCTTCTTTATGCGAGCATCAAATTTGGGAACTGATCAATTCTTCGTGTGAAGGCTGCAAACTTCAAGTACCAAGCAAGAAAGATCATATTTGCATGATGACCAATAATGGAGAAGCATTCCACCAGTATTACGACGATGCCACGCAGTTAGTGGATTCGAATCGAGTTTCGGAATTAGCCAATGAAGTATGTGAGCACGAGTACCTTAAAGACATCGATTTCAAAATTCACCCTTCATGGAAAGTTTATACTCCTGAATTTTACAAATAGACAACCGTCTATTTGCAGAACATTCAGTTTGAAATTTGCGCTCATCGAACGAGGTCACCTCGCGATCAAATCATTGAAGTTTTGATCAAAGGTCCATTGAGAAAAGTTTATCACAAGAAAATGCTTCACAGATTACTTGTCCGGAAGAATTTCGTTGCCATTGTAGAGAGCGCATGGATCATAGTTAGTCATTATTATTGTAAAATACTCAACTGTTTTTAAAAAACCAATAAATCTTATTGTAAACAGTTATTCAGTCTCTGGACTTGCTGGTGTTATTTCAGTCTATTACGATTTAATTAGTTCAAGAATCCGTTTTGAACCACATTTTGAAGAATCAAGTGAATGATTTAAAAAACATTTATAACTTTGATCAGATAGAAAATGGCGTGTTATATTTATAACAAGCGCATAGCTTGATCTATAAATTATTATCTGGGCAGAGAAAAGCTTTATGATTGCCTTTGTTCTTAGACAATAGGTCACCTGCTAAAGGAGTTTGAATAATCAAATTAAAGTTTTTTAACCTTTTTTGATATTTCTGACTCCTGTTATCTGTATTTCACTTGTTTCATTTTTTTTTTTTTGTCATATATTACTTTGAAAACGTCTGAATGGTCCGGAAAGGCCCGGAAATTGGTCCGGAAAGGCTGGGAAGGCCCGGAAAGGCCCGGAAAGGATCGTTGCTAAAACTACCCACAAGTCACATACGACTACATACGAGTAACATACGACTACATACAACTACATACGACTACATACGGGTTACATACGAGTAATATACGACTACATACAGGTTACAGACCTGATTTAGAATCAATTGACATGGAAACAATCTGGATTGAATTATGTCCAACTAATGGTACACCTCACATTATATGCTTGGCTTACAGAACTCCAGACTATCCTCTACCTACCTGGGTGGTCAATTTTGACAAACAACTAAGTGATGCCTACATTGAATGCCATGAAATGACTATCCTCGGTGACTTCAATATTGATATCCTATCTGAAAGCAATGAGTCCCGTTTGTGGTTGGAAACAATGGAAGATTACAATCTATCCCAAGTCATAACTGAACCCACCAGAGTTACTCAACACTCCTTGACCCTTGTTGATCATATCTTCATCACTGAACCTTCAAAGGTTAGGAGCACCATTGTCAAAAAGATTGGATTAAGTGAAGAATTCCATTGGAGTCAAACATTCCCATACAATGATTAAATATCGATGCTACAAACAATTCGATGAAAATAGCTTTATACAGGACCTAAACAATGTCCCATGGCATACCACTGACACCTTTGACGATGTTGATGAAAGTTTAGACACATGGTACAACTTATTTATGTCAATAATTATAAAATTCATTAATAATTCATAATAGCGCCGCCCAATGAGATTTCTGCTTTTAGGTCATATGATCAACTCTTTAAAATCCAATAAAGCACGACTGTCTAAAAGCACGGGGAGGGATTGAAAAGGTAGCAGGGAAAAGCTGGGGTTGATGAATGAATTAAAGAATTGTTATGTAAATTATTTACAATCACTAGTTGCTGTATGAAAAGATAGAACAACTAGTGGTTGTATCAATATTTACAATTACGACGGTTACAAATAATCTAACAAAGACCCATCAAACAGAATTTATTTTGTCAGCATGTAACTTAAAGCTGTAAATGGTTTCTATTTCATGTAAATATTGACATTGCAATTCGTATATATGGGATTTACAATAGTACTAGTGCTGTGACTATTAGAATTTGGAATATCTAAGTTTAAGGTAGCTAGCATTTCATCGGTAATTACGTCGTCATGAAAAAAGTTATATTCCCCATCATTCGTACTTTGTTCCTGGCTCAATGTGCTTGAACTAGTAGTAGTAGCTATAGGAGGTGGGGCGAGAGCATTACTAACGTGTTTCACCTGATCCTGGCTGGGTTTCTGATACCNACTGATATTAGATATTCTAAGTAGCCTTTGCTCATTTGCCCTTAAGCCGAACAGCTTTCCACAATAAAAATAAATAGTGTGCATAAGACACTCAGCTGATTCTCTACCTAACAGGCCTTTCTTCCAAAATATTTCTTCTTCTTTAACAGTGATTTCTTCTCTTTCCTCTCTCTTGGTTTTGAGGTCGATGCCACTCTTCCTAGAATCCCGCATCTCACCATCAATTACCTTTCGAAATAGCGCAAACCTAAAATTCGTAGCATTAAAATTGATTATTCAGTACAGATGTCAATCTAGTTTAAAACGATTCATACAAACCTTTGGTCACCTCTGGCGAATGGATCAAAACCAGTTTTATCTCCCAGAAATCGTTTAATACCACAGGCCAACAGATACAATGTATTGGCCGGATATCTTTCCCCTCTGCGGTTACAGACTTCTTGTATGAAGCGACTCAACCAGAAATTTAATGTTTCTGCACTCATATCTTGTAAAGGAGTGTCCAACTGTTGTACTTTCGACATGTCAAGTGGAATTGAGGTCGAAGTGGCCTGTTTTGGTGATTTATCAATTCTTGATAACTGCCATTCTTGAAAAAGTTTAACTGACCACTTAGTGTTATTTTGTGTGTTTTTTGGTACAGTGCTATCTAAAAGTTTTTCCTCTTCTTCTGCTGTTTTTGGTTGCCGAAATGGTCTTCTACCGCCTTCCATCTTGTAGTTCGTACCAGGTTTATGAGTCTGGTCTCATTGTGGACTGACTGTCCAACGCGTAAAAAGTGCATTTGAATAATTATGCTGATAGGAACAATGCAGTCAAAGCAGGGAAAAACAACATCATTACGAGTTCATGATACCTTGATTGCAGCCATTGAAACGAAGATTAAGTAATTCTAATTTTCATGCACATTCCACATTAGAACAGTAACTGCAATTTGTGCAATGTCTAATATAGATTCTTTGTTCAATCACTTTCATCAAAAACAGCTATTTTCAGATATTCCCTTGAGTTTTATGAATTATTATGAATTTCATAAGCCGTTTACAATATTCGCGTCCGTGTTGTATGGGATTTTACAATCTCTCGCCTTCGGCTCGAGATTGTAAAATCCCATACAACACGGCCGCTCATATTGTAAACATTACTTAATCAACACCTACCTTGGAAAGAGAGACGTGTCAAAAAGAAGCAACAACCAAAATGGCTGACTAATGAAATCATTCAATGCATTGTACATCGAGATCATTTGAAATCTACTGGAGACAGTTATAAAACCTTACGAAATCGTTGTGTATATCTCATCAAAAAGGCTAAGTCTGATTACTATAAGTCATCATTGACAGAAAACAAAGGCAACTCTAAGGAACTATGGAAACATCTAAATGACCTTACTTCAAATGTCAACAAAACCTGTCTAAATTACATCAAGTCTAATAATGGCGATACTTCTCTTAATGACTCTGAATCTATTGGAGAATGCTTCAACGAATTCTTCTCTTCTATTGTTGACGAATTTATTAAGGAAGAACCCTCTCCTTCTGACTTCAAACTGTTAAAGGATTTAGTAAACTCAAAGATGACAGATATCAGTTCTCTATCCCACCTATATCTGCAGAATTTGTGGAGAAGTATCTCAAATCATTAGACACTACTAAAGCAGTTGGTCTGGATGGTCTGAGTCCCAAAATTCTGAAAATATCTGCAGGAGCCATCTCAAGTTCCCTTGCCACCATACTCAACAAGAGCTTGTCTTCAGGTGTGTTCCCAAAGCTATGGAAAGTTGCCAAAGTGATCCCAATACACAAGTCTTGATGCCGCTCAGAAGCTAACAATTATAGACCCATTTCAATACTTTGCACTATAAGCAAGGTCTTGGAACGACATGTTTATAATCACTTCTATATGTTTCTGACGTCAAAAAACCTCCTTCATCATACTCAATCAGGCTTTCGTACAAACCACTCTTGTGAGACTGCTCTTTCAAAAATTTCGACACAAATTTTCACTTTTAGTTGTTGGACCAACTCAAAGCGGAAAAACACATTTTGTTCAACAAATATTAGAGAAAGATTGGATTCTCTACGGAACAAGCAAAAAGCGTCGCATATTGTGGTATTACACACAATGGCAAGATGGCTATCAGATCATGGAGGGGATGTTCAACAAGGAAATTTCATTTCAACAARGCTTGCCTAACTTTTCCGAAGATTTGAGAGAAATTGATTCAAGCTTCAATAACCTTATCATCCTTGATGATTTAATGGCTGAAGCTATTAATAGCCCCATCGTCTCACGATTGTTTACACAGGGTCGTCATAGAAACGCCAGCGTTATTCTTCTTTTTCAAAACATGTTCCCTAAAGGAAAGTACAACACTGATATAAGTCGCAATGCTCAATATATCGCTCTCTTTCGAAGTCCAAGTGATAGAAAACAAATTAGGATTATTGCAGAGAGAATGTTGATAAACAAAGAAATCGATTCACTGAAGCCTTTTACAGGGAAACGCAAAAACCTTTCGGTTATTTGCTCGTGGATAATAAGCCAGATACACCTTCGACAAACAGGTTATTGGAGACATTTTCGGTCAATGTCATGTTTATTCTTCTATCAACAAGGCTAATGAAGAGAGTGAAGTCAAATCATCTGAGCTGATGTTAGTTCATCGAAGCTCTCTTTTGATACCCCATCTCGGGAACTCTTACCAATGAGATAGCTGTCGTGCATTTCTTCGCACAACGTTCGATAGCTGTCGTTATTTGGTATTGCAATAAAATCTTGATAGGTTGCTAATACTTGAGATACTGTTTCTTCTCGTAATCTTGATGTCAAAGATTTTTCTTTAGGTTTTATCCCTACAGTTAAGCTAAACAGAAACTCTTCAAGTTCATTTATAATACCATACGGCATTAATTCCTGGGCTCGACTGAAATATTTCTCAAGGCCTCTTTGAAACATGGTCGTGATGAGTAATTCCAAATAGATTCTTTTGTTTCTTGGTGTTTAACTAAAGAAATATTGCTTTCAATACACAAAGCATGAACAAAGCTGTGTAGCAAACTCAATATTTCTGCTGAAATGCTTTAAATACGGTTTAGCTCGTCCATATTACAATCTCCGTCAGCGATCAGCGATGTTGTAACAAATTCTCAATATTACTTGCAAGTCAGAGCGCAGAGTGACTATAACAGCCCAGATTGAAGCAATAAATAGCCGCTTGCGCGAAACAATAGAGAACAAAAGGACAGTACTGTTCGGAGATTAAGTGAAAGGCCCACAAAAATGAATATTACCAATGAATCTTTTACTCGATTCATGACTCCATACACACCCTATTCAACTGAATAGGTGACGTCACTGAATGTATTAATAAAATTATTTTACTCGAATCAAGCGGTACTCGAATCAAGCGGTCCTCGAATCAAGCGGTCCTCGAATCAAGCGGCTGCCCGTTTAACCAAAGTTGCACCCCACCCCTATATGTTGAATTCCGACATTTTGAAGTATGAGCATCGTGTCTCTTAAATGGGGTTAACATACTTAAATGTAATTCGTTAAGTAAAAAACTTAGGAATGATGATTATGGTGAATTGATTATTGAAGCTCAGCTCTTAGTACAATATTTGAAAAATACATGCTGATTACATCACCTCATGGCAATAAATAACGAACAGTTCAAACCGATGTAGAGTGCTTTTAGTAAAAGCGTGAAAAATGAGAAATTCTATTATGTACTATTTTATGCTAATTCTTTTGTACTTACTTTCTTACTGAAAGCCCTCTATTATTTAAAAACAGATTCCACTAATTTAACTTACGCATTTTTGTCTATGGGTTTCCCATAGGTGTTGATTTCTCTCATTCTGAGAAAGTGGTTTAATGCTTTCATGTTCTCGAAAAACTCATCTGAGATATTCAGCTGAAAATAATGTACATATTTTAAGCACAATTTTCATAGGTATCTAACTGACTGTATTAGAGGTGAAAGTACTGTTATATTTTACATCACCATGAAGATTTTCATCACAATGTTTCTTGGCGTTGAAACATAAGATAATGCTAATGAATGTCTTTTCGCCCTTTTGTTTTTACTGCTGATGTAAATGAATGTATGTTTTGCGCAAATGAATAGCAAAAGGTGTAATAAAAAAAATCGTATTCGTACCATAGCGATGGCCAAAACTAGCTCTAACACTATTGCACTTGATAGAGTCAAATTGCGCACGGTTTTGAGTTGTATGTCAATTGTTTTTTTACCACATTTAAGTCTTAGCAAAAATCATACTTTATTTCTACCGAGCGCCCCGGCCGAGCGCGCGAACGAGACGCGATGGTGTCAGCACAGTGTACATGTCCTGTCATTGACACAATCTAATCAGCCAATCGGCGCGCGAGAATTTACACAATTGTGGTAAAATATATGACTGAGCCTTACCAGCTTGTAATGGTTCTCTAGCTTTTTAGGATTCTTTATGTACTCTGGATAACCTATTAATACCCGCATAGCTAAGGCCTGAGGAAACAAAGCATTCAGTTTCAGTTACAATAAGTTATCAATCCATCCACATAAAACCATTTTCAACGACTGACATTTTTACTTTTTGCTAGCAATACTTAACCTTTTCCTTAGCTAGTCTTTGAGTTTCTGCGTCCATCCACGTTTGCTTTTGGAGTCGATTGACAAACGATTGCTTGAGATCGTTTGTCATTTCTTCAACCTGTTAAGAGTACATGTACAATCTCAGTTAATAAGAATCTTTGAGCAACTGAATAATTGTTGTTTTTGGAAGGATAGTTAGAGCTCGTGACTAAGAGCGTCCATTTCCTTACATATTAATATCATTGCGTATATATTAACATTATTATTTTTATATTTTTCTTCTGTCGTCTCTTCAGGAGTAGATTCTTCACTTTCACTTTCGTCCCTATATATTTTTATTTTGTTTTTTCACGGATTTTCGTCGCGCGCGTAATACCGAAGGTGACCGCTTATTGGTAAAAAAAAATCAAAATAGTGACGTCTCAGTATAAGAAACTTCTCAGGTGTTTTTCAACTCCCACCGTGTTTCTATCAGAAGACAGAGACACAAGCGGCCGTTTTAAATTTCTTTTATAAACTTTTTTGAGCGAAAAGAAAATTTTGCCGGTAAGCCGTGTCTCTGTCCTCTGATATAAACACGGTCGTCAGCCAATCACAGCGCGCGTTATATATCAAAAAGTTTATAAATAGTGATACAAAGCGAATTTAAACTTGCCGTTATCTTTGATTTGAAGTCAAACTTAGCGTTCACGTACAGCAATCCAAGCGTCATGTCGAAAGCGTTCATCATCTGACCACTGATACAAGTATATTCCCTTAATGGTGATGCATTCGGGATAACAAAAGCAAGATATTTCCGCACCAATCGCAACGTCACATAATCACGTATAACTTCACCATTCCTACAGTAGATTGAATATATACGTTATTTTATATGACATAAATTTTATGTCGCCATGGCAAAACATAAGCGTTGACGTGCATTTGCAAACAGATTTCTACGCTGTCGATAGCTGATAAATACTGCACTTTTTATTCTTTTATCAGCACATTAATGTCCACTTCAACAAGTAATATCGCCATCAATGTTACTTTTTACTAGAGATTATAAATTCAAAACTTACCCAGAATCCAATGTTTTCTGATAAAGTTTGTATAGGTTTTTAAAGTATGTAATATTTGTAACAAGTAGTAATTCATTTCCAGCAAAGGTTCGACCATACGTCATCTTTAGGATTCTTTTCAGAAGTGGGCACTATACAATAAAGTTGCAACTAGCAAGTTATTTCATGACAAAAAAGGTTAACGCTAGAGCTTTGTGTAAATATGATATGAGCAGGAGATCTGTATGACGATTTTTAACAGCAAGCCGATAGTCTCATACAGATGGACTACGAATATATAATCGGATAAAACATTCATTGAACTAAAAACCAATCTTCTATATTTGATCAAACATTTAATGTTTTATTAATCAATGCTTTATCAGTTTTAAAGACTCAATCAATTCTCATTGGATTATCAGTACATGAAGTCTTATTAAATGAGTTTGATAAAGATTAAGTATTTACCGAAAATCCTGATTTCGTGCAAAAGTCGTTCATTTTCATCCTGTAATCGTCGATTGGTTCTTTCTTTTGGATACTTTTTTGAACAGATTCCATGAGTTCTTCCTCTGGTGTTTTACCACTTTGTATCTGCGTAAAAATAGAGTAATTAATAGATCAAAGGGGGAAGTGAACAGAGCACTTCTCCAGTGGTTAAATCATATGGTACCGATGTGTAAGGGATTTGCTAATTAGGAGAAGAAGAAGAGGAAGAAGAATATCGTTTATTAAATAAAACACTTTGCAGTCTTACGACTGAATTGCGTGTTAAAATTTACAATATATAATAAAATAGATAAAAGATATGATGTTAGATTGTTATAACAGTATTATAATTAAAAATATTATATACATATGTAATATAATTAGCTTACTTGAGCAAGTTTGGTTTCAAAATCGTAAAGCCTCCACAATTTTGCCACTGCTGTGTCATTGAGTCCGAAGCGTTCTGCTAACTCGACTATTTGTTTTTTAACCTCATCTTGAACCTGCGAAATGTGTGAGTGCATAAAAACTGAAATAATCATATGGGTTATCAAGAATGAATGAAAAACGTTACATTTTACAAAACAACATCAAAACAATGAGCGCGCGCTAATTTTTAACATGCAATCAAAACAGGGCATGCGATTGACTGGAAGGAAACATCCATCTTATGTAAATAAAGTCGTTGGTCGCAGAGGAGATGGAGTGAGGCAATAGAAATTGCAAAGAAGAAGAACGTTCTATTTAATAGGGACAAGGGGAGGATGATCCCGCAAAATTATCTTTGTGTAATTAAAAATTTTGTCTAGCACATAGCCTTGTCACGTGACCTTCTTATTTACTATGGCTCTCTGGGGACTGGGAACTATGTACCCCGTGTCAATATGGCGGACAAACATGGCCGACGCCGGTGAGGCTAAGTTTTTGCTTTATAGGAGAAATGCTAGCACAAATAAGCTAAAAGTCGTCTATTTGAAGGGTTACGGCAATAGACATGATTTTGTGAGCTGAAGSMTGGATTGWTAAGGCGTTTAGTCACTGAAGGTAAGCTGATTTAACGTTTGAAAACTTTCGAAAGGAAAAATGCTTAGGTGTTTTTTTTACGTTTCCCCCTATTCTAGATTTGAAACTATCTACGGAATGAATAATATCAACCAAATTATTACAAACTTAATCACATATCCATTGTGACAGCTGATTATCTGAATATTTTTAAATCGATGTGTGGTCTACGCCTTTGAGAGAGGGCCACAGAGGCTATGTGTGTGTTCATGATTCTCGTCATTTTAATTCTTTAACTTAATACACATGTTGTTATTGTCTTAGCTGTTTCCTTTTTCTTTCAGCTCCTGACTACCCCTGAAGCATGCAGCACGTATTTGCATTGTAATCAATTCAATTTTGCTTTGATTTAGATCATTCCACTTTTTTGTTGGATTTRTTTGTAATAAAATGATGTTTTATTAATTTTTGCCATTCATACTGCCCAGCCACATTTCATGCAATGATAGTAAGTCAATCAGTCTATTTTTTGCCATGATTTTTGAGYTAGGTCCTTGAAAAGTCTTTCGATTGCAAATTTTCCTTGAAAATTCCTTGAATTTGGAGGAAAGGTCCTTGAATTAGTCTTGATTGTCATAAAGTAATGTTTTAGGGATTAATTTAGCCAAGCTTTGAAGCAAAATGACTAGAATTCAATCCTTTATGCGACAGAGATTGAGTAAAATCTTCTCCAAAAGAGAAAGTACTTCAACAAAGTTGACTGCAATGTTCTTATTGTTGCTGTTTGTCAAGACACAGGTTTAGAAAGTTTACTAACTGTAATACCATGATCACCTCGGATTCCATTGTATTCCGAGGGGTTTACAAACCCGAATTTCCCTCATGAATAACATGAGGGAAATTTAGAAGACAAAGGATTCTTTTGTCTTTTRCTAAATTTCCCTCTATTTAATTTATGCAAGGGAAATTTAGTAAAAGACAATACTAAATCTCCCTTGCATAAATTAAATAGAGGGAAATTTAGTAAAAGACAAAAGAATCTTTTGTCTTCTAAATTTCCCTCATGTTATTCATGAGGAAAATTGGAGTTCCTTTGCCTTCTATACTTCCCTAATGCCGTGCACAATGTAAATATAGTAGACTAGATACCCCTCAAAAGAATTTCTACTGAAAACAGGTCTCCTACACGATATGGCACTAGCATGTCTTGCATGTGACATTGTTTACCTAACTGCGCATGCCTGTGCACTTAGTTAAAAAAAACGAAAATGTCTATGACAGATTTATTCGCAGTCGCATAAAAAATATAATAAAAAATCACTTKTTTAAAATCGTTTGCTATAGCACCACATTGCACTTACACTTTTGCCAAMTCGAAATGAAGCATCGAAAGAAATAGCGTTCAATACAGCAAAACTGATATAATCAATTTTAATTYATTGAACTTAGCTGTCTGTTCTAAACGAAAACCTCTCAGACATGTTGTTTGAGCATTGTATACGAATTTTAATTCTGCGATATAAATATTATCTTTGGTACCCTAAGGGACTACAAAACAAGTGCATGAAATAGCACTAACGAACAAATGTTGAATCAATTACACAATGAAGACAAAGTAATGTATTTGAAAACTATTGTTTGATTACATCATTATCAAGCCTAGGTGTCCTAGGTGTACAATACGCTAAAGAGCTAGTTATGCATTTTGGCGGCGTTGTTTACGCTTCCTTGACTAGAAAACTGAACATGATATCAAAGATGTTTCCTTACTTCCTCACCGATAATAGTATTACAAAGTAATACCATGTCACTCGTGAAATTAGTGATTAAATTTCCCCGATATCTCGGGAAAATTTGTAAAAGTCCAAACTTCCACAAATTTTCCCTCGGTTTCGGGGAAATTTAATCACTAATTTCCCTCGTTCCATGGTATTACTTATAAGTATCTTTATCTTTGTAATTCATGGTGTCCGTGAAAAATTAAAATTAATTCTTGAAAAGTCTTTGAATTTTGTATAAAAAAAATCTGTGCGAACCCTGTACACTGATCAAGGCAGTTGTAATATAATTTAAAATAATCCTCCCGTGTTTATTTACAGCATTGTGTACCTTTTGCATGACTGTTCTTTTTAGCATGCATTGTTGATTTCTCTTGAAATGTCAACATATGAACTTCACTTGAACTTACTTTACAATTTAACTTAGGCCCCATTTAAATGGAGATAGGGCCACCTACTATGGAGGCCATCTTTTTGTAGTGTGCATAGTGGGAGAACTGTTGTTAAGTTGTTTATTTTCAAGTAATAGACCACAGCACAATAAAGACAAGCATTGACAAGGAAACTATTGAATTTGCCATCAAAAGAGAATGCTTTATCTTCGTATATGGTTATTTACAAAGCTCGGTGACCATTCATGATGCCTAGCCCTGCAGGGGCGGACCTAGGATTTTTTTTAGGGGGGTGACTTTTGATTTTTTAAGAGTTAACATATTTAATTTTCCTGCCAAACGTACCAAAGCTCAGCGAATGCATGTGTGTTCTTAGATGCCCGAGACGCTAAAAAGTGTTAGTCCWTTTGAAAAGTGTTGTTTATCGAAATAWCAACCAAKYATTTCCCTATTTCCTTGATATGAATATTTTTATATTCAATTTATCCAGGAAAAAGGGGGGTGAACGTTCACCCAGTTCACCCCCACTGTATCCGCCCCTGCCCTGGGTAAAGTTTACATACAGTGTTGTGTTTTGATTCTTTGGGGAGGGTGACCCTCCTAGTAGGATGATCAACATGTTTTAACAGAGCCTTAAAGATGATATAACATATAAGTCTTGAAAATGTCTTAAGAGCCTTACATGTAGTGATGAATCAAATTTGTAGGCTACCARTTTTCCTTTTTTTGTTAAAAGTAATCTCAATCCTTGAAGCATGAATATTACAAGAGAAGTGTATATTTCCTGTTTTATTTTAAAATCAACATTAAGTTAATAAATGATTTTTTGTTAATATTCAATCATTTCATGACAACAATTCCAAAGTCTTGCTGAATATACATGGTTGCGGTTTGCAAAATAATACACAAGAAAAATACATTGTTATTGTTACTATTTGATGATAAAAAGTCAACCAGAATTTATGCATAAGTTATATATAAAAAAAAACAATGTTTCTTTGACTCAACTTGGTGAGATAGTAGGTCCACATCATGGAAAAAACAACGCTGCTTATAACTTYACACGATTTTCATCTCAAGCACTTGAGAATGAACTTTTTTTGTAAAGTTTTTCTTTGATCGGAGGAGGAAAACCTACCTCAAAACGCAGAAAACTAGAAAGAATTCGTTTTTCAGAGCGAACAAACTAAAACTGACACATTTGAGTGCTTGAAAAAAGCCTTASTCTTAGTTAGATGGAATATTTGACCATGTTTAACTTCTTTTTTTCAGTGATTTCAGTGATAGTGTTTGCTAAAAACACGCAAATGTTTAATCCTCCGCCATCTTGGATAGCCGCCATGTTGACACGGGGTACATGAAAATCAACCAATCCCGTTCAATTAAATAGCAGCGCGCAAGAGCCAATCAGAATCGAGAATGAAAAAGCTATGTGCTAGACAAATTAGTTACCGCGCACGCTTATCATATCTTCTCGGAGCGCGCGCTCATTGTTTTTTTCAGTCTTGATAATAATGCTCGGTTAGCCAAAAGCTCAACGAAAATAAATCACTTTTAGGTTGAAGTAGCGCTTAAATCATAATAAATACTAGACCGACATACATTTATTTATTTGAACTAAAATAATGAAGAGAAGAAGCAATTGAGACGATGGAAAGACTATAAAAAGGCTATAAGAAATACGGATGATTAAGACAATAGAAAACACAATAGCAAACACAATAGCAAAGATGATAGCAAAGGCGATAGCAAAGGCGATAGCAAACACAATAGCAAAAACAATAAAAATTAAGGAAAGAGGATGGAGCAGACAATAACCAAAGACAAAAACGTCGATAATCGCATCATAATACTAATATCAACTTAACAATGGTGTATTAGCAATAAAACTTCAGCAGCTATGTAGTATTGGCAATTGAGAAAGCAGCCAAAAATAATAATTCAGTCTATAGCTTACCACTTTACTTTTGTTAAAATAGAAACTTGTGTCCGGAAATGTAAGAACGGCATACTTCATCTGGAAGTAAATGCAATTAATTTTCATAAACTCTGCTGTTAGGACGGACTGAAAATACAATCAGCTGTTAAAAGCCCCACGTACGATCAAGAAACTGCGAACAAAACTCGACCCCGTTTTGGATAGATACGTGCCGCCGGTGGTCTAAAACCCTGACCCTGTTTAAGACACTAGGAAAGTGAAAATCCATACCCTGTTCAAGACAAATCGGAAAAGTAAGAAATCGCTATCTACGCCGCTACCATGAAAACTGCAATTATACTGACATCCATCAAGACAATAAGAAGTTTTTGATAACACGTTAATCCTGGTACAGTGAAACGGTATTTCTACTATTTCTACGGTATTTCGTATGAAAGTATTACCCTGTCATATTACCCAGGAATTCTTGGATGCACGTGCACTTTAACTAGTCAAGCCATGATAATGAAACGTACCATAAGTATTTTGTTTGAAGAATTGTAAAAATCAGTAGTAACTCTTGAAACAATCAGAGAATCGACATCAAGTTCACGTGCTGCTTTCCCAATCCTAGATTCGATACTGATGCTGGAGTCAGTATTGTTGAATATACTCCAACCACCATAGTCTTCGATCAGTTTGATCAGCGGTTGTATTCCACTTGACTCTATTGCTGTGGTGTTTTTACATGACTTGTAAAAACGTGCCGTTTTCATTACAGCAACATTCTAAAATAACAATGAATAACAGAAAGTCCGGATGAATGATTTATTAGATATATAAGAATATTGTTGGACTATCTGAAGTGACAGATTGAGATAGCGGATTGATTGACCGATGAATAAATATAAGAGCAAATGAATCAATGAATGAGTAATGAAATAATATACATGGGCATGGAGGGAGTCAGCGAAGGATCAAGGACGTATGGATGGATGAATGATCTGTGGCGGTTTGATTGGTAAATGGTAATGTTTCTATTGAAATTTATTACCTTGGAGTAGTTCCGTTTCGCGTTTTCAAGACCAAATTTGAGAATGACTTGGATTTCAGACGAAAGAAGATTTATCACTTTAGAGACATCTTTCCCTTTTTGCAATGGATGCTTTTCCTGCCAACCGCCACAAGCATATGCATAGAAATCTTTACAAGGATCTGCACTTTGATTTAGGCTATGGACTATTGCTAAAAATGAGATAAATCATAAAGTGCTAGTTTCTCTTTTGCTATAGTTAACATTCACAGAAATAATACTAAATGAAATAGAGATCTAAACCCTTTGCCGTATAACGTTGTGTGGTATACAAAATTGAGGTGTCATATTTCATTTAGAAAAAATAAGAAAAAATAAGAAAAACAAATCAGAAAATCAAAAAACAAATCAGAAACTATGTCCAGTAAACCTTTTCCTAGCTGAAAACAACGATCATCATTGCATAATTTGTACTTCTTTCCAGGTTTCTCGACAGAAGTAGCTTCAGGAGTTGAGCCATGTGCTTGAGCATAGAGTATTGCAAGCACTGTACAGAGAACAGAAAGTATAATGCACACCACTACAGTCACAGCAAAAGGTTTGGTAAATCGAGGGCGGTCTCTCTTGTAATAAACTTCACAATCTTCCATCAAATTCTCTTCACTAGAACTTTCCATCWTGAATAATGAATGGACAACACGCACAAGACACGATCAAGGAAAAGCAATTCCCGGAAATGACTCGAAGAGCAAAAAGTAACGCTCTAGGGAGGGACGGGGGAGAAGTAATTTCAATTCTACGAACAGCCTTCTAACTGCGTAAAAACTGAATATTATATGCATGAGCTTTACGATTCCAAATACAATTTGAAGTTTCTTTTGTTGTAGTTTGAAAACGACAATTAAATCAATAAACYAATTAAATCAAATAAATCTAAAGTAAAGCAAAAATATGTTTCTAGGGAGGGGAAGGTAATAGACATTTAGCAGAACCGACTCGGGACGAGATTCTGAGAACTCCTGCAGACACTGCACAAAATATGGATACGATTTGTCACAGGAGAGTTTCTGCGAATCAAAGCAAATAACCCTAATGAAGTGTTTTATGGAATGTCACATACCAGCATCCCGGTGTTAAGACTGTAAAGCAGAGAAAACATTAAACGTTTTGTTTTGTTAGAATATACATCTACATCACCGGTGGCTACGTCTAGACACGGTCATGCCCAAAACCTTTCTCGTGTTCTTCCAACAATGGAACTCGTGTTTCTAACGGGACATATCTTCGGGGAAAAAAACAGTCTGTTTCAACGGGACATATCTTCGGGGAAAAAAACAGTCTGTTTCAACGGGACATATCTTCGGGAAAAAATAACAGTCTTCCAGTGCTTAAAATATAGAAAATCTTACTTTCAAAGGCAGTTAATTGATAAAACTAAAGGACTGTTGTCCTTAGAATTGCTTCGTTTGCAACGTTTATTCTTTTTTTTTTTGAGGAAATTTTGAAGAAATTGCCCTGCATTATTTGTTACTTGTAAACCTTTCTTATACGACAAATAAAACAGCCCTATAAGCCATTCGAAAGAAGAGTAATTTTTTTAATTTTTATTATTATATTTGCTTTTTTTTTCTATTGTTTAAGAAAAAGTTAATCGCGAACCGCGGGTCGTGGACATATTTGTATTTTCAAGTGATTTGCAAATAAAAATTACGCTTATCACTATCAGAAATCGCTCTATTTATAAACCTGCATAAACGAAACAGCTACAAGATGAAAATAACAATCCCCATCTTG